AATTATTGATTGATCTTAGAAAGCAAGAAGAAAATCTTATAGAAAAAGAAGAAGGAAAATTAATTATAGAAGAACAATGAACGAAGAAATGGAAAATTTAATATTTGACTTAGAAGACTTAAAAATTTGTGAAGAAATAACTAAAAATCATATGGTAGGAAGAACATGAGGACCACGAACAGTTACACAAGAAGAATATAGAGAAACTAGCACAGCTAGATATGAAGCAGAAATAGATCCCAGAAAATATGTTAATACAAAAGTTGATTTTAAAACTAAAAAAGAAAAAATGTATAGAGACCAATTTAAACCAGTATTAAGAGAATCAAATCCAATAAAAATTGTAGGATCATATTTAAATTTAGATTGTGAATTAGACGTTAGAAAATCTATAAATGAATGAAATACTAATATGAAAGCACACTTTAATTATAACCGTAGTAATACCGATAATAAAAATAGAACTGAATATTTATTAACAACTTTTAAAGGAAATGTAGCTGATTGGTATATAGGATTAGAAGAATCAACTAAATGTGTTTGGAAAGATAGTATTGAAGCATGGTTTGGAATTAGTATAATAGAAGGTATAAATAGAGTCACTACAAGAATTTATGGAGAATTCGCATGAGAAGATTGGGTAAATGAAAGTACAAAAGCTAGAATAAAAGAAATAGAAGATGCTAAGAATATGATAGAACATTTACAAATTTGTAATATGTGTTACTTTGATGAATATAATAAATATTATTATATGTTGTTTGGAAGTGAAACTGATAACAACTATTATAAATAAGTTTTTGTTAGAAAATTACCCCCACCATAAAATAATTATTTTCAAAATAAGATTAAAAAAAACAACTTGAAAAAAATGAAGAAGGCTATACATTATGATTTATAATAAGAACTATAAAAGATGAAATAAGTACAATATGTAGTAATCAAATGATTTATAAACAATTATGATTTATAACAGATATAATTTGTTGTAGAGATACTGAAGTATCTGGAAATTTGGGATGTTATGATTATAAACAAAAAAAGAAATAGAAAAAATAGAAAAAGTTTAAAAAAATATTTNAAATAAAACCTAAGAAATTTAAAAAATATAATAAGTTTAAGAATAAATATTTTAAACTAAAAAAGAGATATTTTAAAAGAAAATATAAACTTTATCCTTACAATATATAAAAGGGGAGGTTCCTTGCCACTGTTCTTAAGCCATTTGGCCACCTCAAGCCGAGCCGTTCTCGAGCCGAGCCATATAAGCCGAGCCGCAGGCAAATTGTTTTTCTGCCATTTCTTTCTCGGTAAGCTTGTCTCCTTTTTTTCAGTTCTCTCAGCTTTTTCTCTCCATTTTTACACGCAAACTCCCATACCCCTCCGTTCTTCACCCATATCATTTCCCTCTCTCGACATTTCTCTCTCTCACACTTTTCCTTTTCATTTTCTCCATTAGAGAAGTCTTCCCCTTCTACATCTAGAAACAAGCCCTCAATCTCCTCAATCTAGAAACAAGCCCTCAATCGGACCACCGCGATGCCCGAGCGCCGTCAAATCTTAATACCAGCAAGAACAAGTGCTCCGATAGTGCGCAAGTTTTTATTTTTTTTTCTATTTTTTGCAATATGCGAATTCTAGGCGATATTAGTGGAGTTTGTGGATATTGAGTTTTCAGTGATTGAAAAATGATTGATTATTAAAAAAATACAAGAGAATATAATTACAATGATTAATATTCATTTGATAATACAACTACTTTTGTCAACAGCTGTGATATTTGATGCTTTCTTCAGAGCGTTGGAGGAGTTAGACGGATTAGATTTTCAAGGGAGATTATTGCATATCGAGCGAGGAAAAGAAAAGAATCCTTCTGATAAGCAAGAGTATGTAGAATCTGAGAATTTTTTCCTCTTCTATTCAATCTTTCATTGTTCTGTTACGGTTGGATTCCAAATCCCACCCTACGTCAATCACCCTGTAAGAATTAACTCGGAGTTGTAAATGAAATCAGTTAACCAAACTATATTTAATTGATATTCTAAAGGAAATTACAATGAAAACTAGAATGGAGGATGGAAGACAGGAGGAGGAGAATTAGGTAGAGAGAAATGAGATTCAGGTGATCCACTCCTCATTGCCCTTCTGCTCCCTTCCTACTGTTATAACAGAAAGGAAAGAAAATAAAACGTGAAATGAAAATAAAAGTGTCTTGCCTATTACAATTAAAGTTTCAATACATTGTTTCCCCATTTTTTAATTGTAGGTTATGACCGTCGATAACTCCTATTCCTTCTTCTAATGCCTTCTTTCCTCTGTTGCCTCTAAGAAGTCAGGCATAAACAATTATGCTTGAGAGTTGTTTTGTATGCCTTTCAGAACTTTTTTTCTTAACTATTCTAACCTGTCTTTATATTGAAACACTAAAGCTACATGTCAATTCTTCTACGTGTCATTTTGTTTACTTCTTTTCTTTAATTAATGCTTTACCATTCTTTTTGTAGTCCTTTCGACTGTTAATCAGAATCTATATGCCTTTTTTATTTACATTAGTTATAATTTGTGTACATTCAATATCTTTAGTTTTAGAAAACTAAAAGGGTTTGTTTACATCACAAGAAAATGTTCTCAAGCAAGGAACAAAACATCTGCAAAAAAATTTACGTTCAAGGTAATGGCACTATAAGTTATTTTTTCCCTTTTTCCTTTCCTCGGTGAAACTAATGTTTCTTATAAGGTTAGTTCAAACCTTGCCGGAAGATGGACAATAATATGGTACACCACCTGCTTCATCTCTGTCAAATTGCTGCTTCTAATAAAGTTGAGGATTGCTTCAAAACGTGGATCGTACCAGTGGATAAGTCAGAAAGTTTAAATTGATTGGCAACTCAAATAACGAATGTTTGAATTGCACTTTAGTATTCCTGTATTGGTTCTATATAAAATTCTAGAACTAGCTCTATTAGTTAATCATTTGCATCCTCTTTATAGTGAGCAGTATTTGGCTCTGTTGTATATAGTGCTGGCTCTGTTGTATATAGTGATCCTGTATGTGAGAAAAATGAGGAAAATATCATCAGTCAAGAAGTGAGTTCAAATGCTGAAACTGAGGGTGAGAGTCATAGTAGTGGTCTGTTTACTTTGACAGATTGCAACAAAGCAGAAGGTCATTTGCCTATACATGGGGCACTTCCATACAAATGCTTGGGCTTATCAAAATTGTTTTCATGTTTACAGTAAATGACTATGCAGTAACTATTTCACCAGATCAAAGCAAAGGTTCTGTGGATGATGTAGCATTACCAGTGGTACCTGAATGGAAACATGACACGGAAACCAAGTCGAAAGGCAATAGAAATGTTTCTGAGACAGATGGTGCCCTTAGTTCAATGCTAACTAATTTTTTTTTTCATGTAATATATGATCTGATTTCAAAATTGCATAAGAATTATTTAGGAGAACTCATGATTAGATTGATAACCACAATTCTTCTAGAGGGGATTTACGAAAAAATCTAAGGAGAGCAACCCCCCTGTTCCTTTAAATCATAACTCCAAAAGTAAATTGTATGGGCCTCTCTACACCGGCCAAGATACCTGATTCCTATAGCTGGACTGAATCTATGTTATACTATGTGTTGTACAACTTAGAAGGTTGTTAGTTTTTAGGATGAGATTAATCCCAAGTTGAAAGACATTTTTGATGATCAACAAATTGTGTCACCGAGATGCTAACGATTTTATGTTAGACATCTTTGATATTGGAAGTGTAATTCAATGTTCAACTATTAGTGTGGAGACACTTTTGATGTTCATGAAATTGGACTTAGATAATGATTGGAACTTTAAACAGATGTAGTTACCTTGGAGCCGAACAATTGAGAGAATTTTCTGTAAAATCTTGCCTTTATATTGTGTACCCTAATGTCTATATATATTGTACAATAGTTCATCTATAAGGAAAGTAAATAAAGACAATTGCTAGAAATCAGCTTTTTCCCAAACTATATACGGTAACACTACTCAGATTCGAGTGTAATGTAATGTTCATTTTGCTTGAAAGACGCAAAACACTGTCCTTGAGTGTTATCTTCTGCAGTTGTAATCTCTATTCACGTTCATTTTGGTGGCATTTTAGTTTTGAGGATGATGTAGATATTGAAACTATGATTCTTCCGTATAAGTTGCAAATTAACTTTTTAATCTCCTAATTACAGGATGCTCAAAATGCTCTACTTACAATGAGAAAAAATATCAAGGAAAAAGAGCTTGAAGCTTTGTTAGCTGGGAAGCATGATTCTTTTTCTTACTTCATGGAGGTAAACTTTATGAATGACCATATTTTTAGTGCTTTTAAAATATCAATAGAGATTTTCTTTTGATTTTTTATCCCCCGTGTAAAAATGTGTAATTGTTTGTTGTTTCTTGATGGATTCTGTAGCATGTTTTAGTGGTATGATTTTCAGGGTATGATTGCACACAATTAATTATTTTTGTGAAAACAATCTTTATCTACTAATTATAGGTTCAAGCAGGAGCTGGTGGTACCGAGAGCGTGGACTAGGCTTCAATGGTCATGCAGATGTATAAAAAGTGGGCTGAACGTCAAGGCTTTGGAGTTACCTTGTGGATGAAATGCCTGGCGAGATGGCAGGAATCAAGGTTCATGTTCTTACAACCTTTATGTTTTTAACATTTAATATACTTTTTAATATTGTTAATGGAGTCTGTATGAGCAATATTGCCTCTTGGACAACGGTTTATTGTCGTTCCCCTTTGTGATAAACCTGGTTTATAGGAAGTAGAATGTATTCCATAACATGTGCTTTGTGATTTTTTTTTCCAGTAATGAGCCGCGAGCTGAATGGCTTTTTGCCTCGGTTCGGCTCGGCTAAGCCGAACTTTTTTTCCAGTAATGAGCCACTAGCCGAATGGCTTTTTGCCTCGGTTCGGCTTGACTAAACTGAGCCATTTTTCGAGTTAGCCGGCTAGCCAAGCTGTACTGTTGCTTATTCTTGTGACCCTGTCTCTCTCTGGCCAAGATAATAATGGCAAAAACAACGCCGTTTCTTTTTTTGGCTTTCCCCTTGTTGCTTTCTCTTCTCAGACATGCAACTCTCCCATTTTCAATTTTTCATCTAACACACGCAACATTTCCCTCTTTCTTCGGCCTTTCCACACTCTTTCTTCTTCCCACAATAATTTTCATCCCCGTTCGAAATTATTCAGAAGAACCCCATAAAAAATCGCAAAAAATTGAGATTTATACATGCAAATCACCGCTTGTCTCTCGAAACCCTAATCCGCTGCTCGAATTCTTCGTCAATCCTCACGATTCAGGTTACCTAAACAGTAAATGGAGTAATTTAAACTTGCCCAACTTTTATGTTATTTTTTCTATTACTCAATTTTGGAATTACAAAAATCATAACGGGTATCGTGCAACGAACGATCCACACTAGTAATAAAAAAAACCATTAGATAAGAAATGATGTAAATGTTGGAATTGCAATGAAGAAGGTCATATTAGCACTGAATGCCCAAAAAAGAAAGTTAGAATATTAATTACGGACTTTGAACAAATTAGAGATGAATGTGAAGAAGTTGCTATTGAAGAATTGCAATGAAGAATGACATATAAGTATCAAATGTCCAAAAAAGAAGGTTATGATATTAATTACAGATTTTGATCTGATTAGAGATGAATATGAAGAAGTTAATTTTGGAAAAAAAGAAACTGATGAAGAAATTTTTGAGACAGAAATATCTAGTGAAGACGAGTAACAATAATTAAAACTAATTTTTTAAAACTATTCTAAAACTTAAGGATATGTTTTGCAAATAAAACTCAATTTCATTAAGGGTAAAATTGATTTTTTAACAAAATGCCCAAAATTTTTAAGTTGCCCGGCCATTTATCAAAACCTCTCCCTATCCCTTCATCCATGGCTCACCATCTTCTTCTTCTCTTACACCGGTACCTAATCCTGGAAGGGCTGTCAACACGGTGATAGAGAGCAGCAGTGGCTTTATTGGTAAAACGTGGGTGTGTGTTAAAATAAAATCCACCGCCACAGAAGAGAAATTGGAAAAATGGAAGGTCCATTATGATATTCCCCCCCTCTGTGGAAGCGTTTCTACCCAGAGATGACGACCGTGCTTGCAACCCATCGGAGGGCTGCGATGCGTTGAATCCAGCAATTCTCCATGTTCGTTTGCGAATTCCTTTTCCTCGCGTGATAAGGAAGTTTTTATCTTCTTGGGGTCTTGCTCCAACTCATCTCTGTCCACACGGTTGGAGGACCTTATATGGGTATCTTTTGCTGTGGCACAAATTGGGTTTTCCAGAGTTGACCGTTGAGGAATTCAAATTACATCATCAAAGAAGACGGTAAAGACTCGGGCTGGCATTATACTACTGAGAAGGCCAACACTGGGGTGTCTATTATGCTGAATACCCCTTCTTCTACGTGAGGAGGGATTGGCAATTCTGGCCAAATGAGGTGAACATGGATGGATGTCTTAACTCCTGGGGTTTTATGGTGTCTTTAACTCCTCTTTCCTTCGTGTTTATCGACCCTGCAGTATTTCTCCAGGAGCTAGGAGAATAGCTGATGTTCAAACCAGAGAAACTACAGCACTTTGATTACAGCCGCCAATTTAGCAAGTGCAAACCTTTTCGTTCGAAGCCGACCTGATTCCCCTCCAGAAGTTCAGACCATCTTTTCTTCACATGAGGAAAACGCTTGCAAGTTTGTCACCTCTCCCTTTTGTAACGTAACATAGCCCTCCATGTATAAGAGGCTCATAGCGTCTGTGTATAAGAGATCTGATAACACATTCTAGCACCTAGTCCAAGACCCCTCTGTGCACTGGAGGAGGTACAACCATCGAATTCTTTCTTGTGATTTTTAGAATTAACTTTACATGTATGGAACAACTAATACTGGCTTTATAAGTTAAATAAAATGATTTAACAGCTTGAACTAACTTTCAAAGAAACTGCTTGTTTAAAGAACTTGTCTAAATAATTATCTAAAAGTGAGTAGATCTTGCAATTTGCATAATATACTAAAGACACCTAAAATGAGTACACACTTATCTGCACAATATATATTACTAAAGACACTTGAATTAGTACACACTTATTTGCATAATATACATTTCAAGACTTAGTTCTCACACTTGAGTTATAGCTACAACATAGGTCAACTGGTACGCGATATCAATCTCCTTGACACCTCATAAATGTTAAAATAGGATTTTTGGATCACATTTTAGCTATTTCTACAATAATTACTTAATGCGTAAATTCACAATCTAATTACTATCCAAATACTTAATCCCAAACGAACACACAAAGTCGAAACTTAATCATCCCACGTCCATCAACCAAACTCAAATCAATTGACTATTTAAATTTGAACTAATGTGTCTTCCACTATCCACTTTCTTCAAGATCGAAAGGCTGTACCTCTTTGAATTTCAACAAGAAAAACCTTATAATAATGAATTCATTCTTATATATATATATATATATATATTCATCAAATCCCTCTTGACTATGGTTCTCAAAATTGTTCAAAAAGACATGATGTACAACCCTTTAATAAACACCGCCCTTTCAACTCTCTTAACATGAAAAAAAAAATGATATTTACTTCCTGTTTGGTAGGGATTAAAATCAGAATTTTAGTAAATTTTGATAGAATTTGATGAAATATGTGATTGAAAAGTTGTGGAATCTATGAAATATGTGGTTAAAATTTATTGTTGATTTTAACTTAGATTTTAATTAGTACCAAACATGACTTTAAGCTTTAATCATGTTTAACCACTATTCTCTTCATTTGACTTAAACTAGTTAACGTCGGATGTGCATTACACGTTAGTATGAAATATTTTATAAGTATTGTAAAAGTAATATTTGAATATGCGTAAATGTTAATTAGTTTAGAATTAATACGAGAAAATATATACGTAACGAAAAATGTTAAATCATTTATTTAATTTTCAATTAAGTAAAACTGAATGTTAAGAGCTTGTTTGGGAGGGATTTTTGGGAGAAGAATTGATTTTGAATAGTGATATGATGGGAAATGTGTGGATGAAAAAGAAGAAAAAACTATTGATGTGATGGAAAATATTATTTTATTGAAAAATGTGTGGTTGAAAATGAGAATTGATTTATTGTAGAAAAATCAAAATCCCTCTCAAACAGGGCCAAAATATCATACATGGACGTGAATAATGAAATGAAATGCATTATTGAATATGAAATTCTAATTAACTTATAATTAAAATTAATAATACTGAAATGCATAAATGAAGATGATAATTAATTAAATGAATATGAATTTTAATTAATTGAGAATTAATAATAGAGAATTCATACTTTAATGAAAGTACCGGTGAAATGAATCAGTCAATTGTATATATACATGTATATTTATGATAACTAAATGATTAAATAAATTAAATATATATTTAAAAACGAAAAGTAATATATGATTGAAATAATTGAAATATAGTATTATTAGAATCATCCAAAAAATGATTATCACTTGATATGATTACTATAAATTATAGATAAATAGCTCATTACACTTAAATCAACCCTACCCTAATAAAATTCAAAATTGAGCTAATAATCCAAAAGCCTAAAATTGAACAAAACTCTTCAATAAGGGTGCGTTTGATTGCAATGGTGGAAAGAAAATGTTTTACAGGGAAAAGATTTGCCTAGAAAATGTTTTGTAGGGAAAATCAATTCAAGTGTGTTTGATTGGTATAATTTTCTACCCGAAAATTTTTTAAATTTTCTATTCGTTTGGCTTTATTTTACATGGAGATTGTCCATTAAAGTGATATTTTTTTTCCACAATTGGTTATAAAATTTGTTTCCATTGCCAAAAAGTAAAAAAAAAAAGGGAAAAAAAAATTGTTTCCTAAAAAATCATTTTTTTAATCAAAGTTTAGTGTTCGTTTGACTTTGTTTTACATGAAAATTGTCCATTAAAGTGATTTTTTNTTTTCCTACTTCCCCGGAAAACACGGCCTATCAAACACGGCCTAAGTTTCTTGCTTTCTACTTGAAATTGAAGAATCCAAGCTTAATACTATAAATTCATCATTCCCCAACTACCTTGACTGCCGTCCTTTCTTTATTTTTTTTTTCTTTTTCTTTAACGAAATAAATAATTAAATATATTAATGTTACAATTCTATACAATTTGATTACAAATTATTGAATTAAGTGCTCACAAATAAAAAATTTCATAGATTACAAATCGTTCGGGAAGTGAAATAAATTATAATTAAAGATAGTCAAACATATTTATTATTCAAACATTTTATAGGATTAACTCATTTATTATCTACAAATTTCTATGATTTATAACATATAATCACTTCTCAAACATACAGTACATTGGTCAAACACACGATTCATCCACACATTTTCTAAAATCTACTGAAAATAGATTTGGAAAAGAATGAAGTTTTTGAACAATGTACGATAAAGAAGACGAAGTTGGGAAAAAAATTGAGTTTACATTCAAAATTATTTTATTAAAAAATGTACAATTGAAAAGAAAAATAATTTGAAAGAATAAAGCCCAAACAGGGAGCACGGTTGTTGAATTTGAAGTTATTGATCCGAATGAAATTTACCATTAGAAACGGCTATAATTCCATTTTGGGCCTCTCTTCAAGCCCAACTCGCTACAAATAAGCCCTTTCTATTTCACACACTGCGTTATAAAGCTAGAGGGAAGCCACGAATCATTTTCAAAGTTCCTCTCTCTAAAACCCCACCTCTCTCTGCTTCAATTTTGAGCTGTGTAATTCCACTTTTCACCCTTTTCTTCGTCTGTCTGTCTCTCTATATCTATAAAAGTAAGCAGGGATTGGTCCGTACAACTGCTCCTTAGGGTTTTGGATTAGTGGTTTTTGCTGGGTTTAATTCGGTTTGAGTGGTGATCTCTCCATGGCGGCAGAGAAGCTACGGGATTTGAGTCAGCCGATTGACGTTGCCTTGCTTGATGCTACAGTAGCGGCTTTCTATGGCACCGGATCTAAAGAAGAGGTCTAAAACATTTTTTTTCCGTTCTTTTCACTGTTGGCTATTAATTTACTCGCATTAATTTTTGTTCTTTTTGTTCACAAAGTTGTCAGGAAATGTGGGAGAGTTAGAGAAGTTTATTTTTGTTCCCAAAGTTTTTGGGAAATGTGGGAGAGTTAGAGAAGTTTATTTGTTTGGTTTTTAATTACTGGGGCTTTTGAATGAGCAAGAAGTCAATTGCTAGGGCCTACACTCTGTAGAATTAAGATTTCAGCAAAGATTGGGATCATCACTTTAAAAGCATGTCATTTTGGATACCTTATAACTGGCGAGCCGCCAAGAGTAGTCTCTTCGGTTCACGTGAATTGATGCCTGTAAAGTGAATCCTCAAGCTGTTGGAAACCATAAATACCTCAGCATGCTCGTGGTTTTTACCATGCTTTATTAAGGTTCAGTTGTCTTTGTTTCCTCTGGCACCTTTTATGGATATATGTTCGTAGGTAAAAAATGTATAATTGAAGGTTAGGAGCAATAAAATTTGATGAAAGCGTGAGATCTTGTTGTTACGGATTTTTTTGTGGGTGGAGGGAGCATACAATGTGTATTCTTTTAGATCCACATTTCGTGAGGATTTAGTTATTCTGAAAGCTATATCTTCACAAGACGTTTTTTATTTGCTAACTTGAAATTGGATTTGGTTATGCTCCATGCACATGGTTTTGAGTACACGTGTCAGAATTTATTTATGAAGGTGTGTGGGCCCCTGCAAAACAATCACCGCAGGCCTGTTTTGAATTTTTTTTGAAGTGAAGACATATTCTATGAAATCTTGTGTTTTTATTGCCCCGTGTTGTGTTCAAAGGCACAACATTTGATTGTTATCATGAATTCTCAATGGTGAGAAGGAAATCTTTTATATAGATCTATATGGTGTTCTGCCTATTGGATGGTTCATTGGTTAACTTGGAAGCTTTGGTTAGATCTATCTATGTAGCTGGTAAAGAAACAAGACAATGGTGACCAATTAACTGGAGGTGACTGAATAAAACATGCAAGTATAGTAAAAGCGTTAATTAAATAAAATGCCATTATTGATCTCCAAAAATGGCATAATGTTGTTATCGATATTTTTTAATAGATACAATGTCATGAAATTGGAATGTTTAAAGCTCAATTTCTAACAACATACCTTTGGGTCCCATCAAATTGAAATCGCCTTTAAAAAATGCTCAATTGGGTATTGGGACTTTTTTTTATCCTTATATGAGGCGAAGTGGAAGCTTTGAGGAGCTTTGAATTGTAGGTGTTCAGACAAACCAATAGAACAATATAAAATGATATAAAGATTCAAAAATATGCTCATGGGCTCTGATGTTCAGATTCTTCGAAATGGATGAAGTACACGTGTCGACATAATGCAACATGAGTATGAGATATGTGTTGGATCCTTTAAGTTTCAACCGGACATTTCGCTGTTTCTGCTTCTTTCTTCTTCGTTTTTTCTTTCCCGTTTATGCTTTCTGTAAACCTAGGACCGCCTCTGGGAAGGTGGAGGAAGGTGGCGGTACTAGGTTTTCCTTTCTGTTTCTTCTTTCTTTTCTTCTTTTTTTCCTTCATTCCCTTTCTGTATCGATGGTTTAGAGTTTTTCTGTATAAATGAAAATGAGTTCCATATATAGTGCTACTCAGTGTTCCACTAAATTCAAATTGTAATCAAATCCCTTATTTTCTACTTTATATGACATTTAGTAATTAACTTCCCGTAATGAAACCTAAACCCTCAAAATTCTATTTTATTCATTTTTAATTCCTTATTCAATACTCATTTCTTTCTTTATGATCAATCGATTTTGGTCTATTTAAAATGAAATCTGGTTAGTAAAAAAAATTGAAGTTTGAAAGACGTACTCATGTACCCGTGTCCAAAATTTGAACTCTTTTTAGCTATACCCCGTATCGTACATATATAAGGTTGACCAAATGTGCCTCAAGGTGTAACCTTTGAGGTGTCTTATGAAAGCGTCTCATTAGGCAGTATTCAAGGTGTAAGCCCCAACTAGCTTTTTTACACATTGACAGTAATTAGGCAGTTTCAGTTTCTTTTCTAAAATTACTGCATTATAAAATCATATTTTGAAGCATACCATTTTCGATCTCCCCAAAATTTAAATTTAGGCAAGGAACATGTACTGAACGACATTTCTAATAACATACACAAAGGGGAACAATTGTCCTATGTATTGTTTAGGTTTAATGTCCAAATGTTGAAATATGACATTTTCATCATGTGCTGCCGGTAGGGGTGGGCATTGGGTCGGGCCGAGTTTGGCCCAAAATCGACCCTACCCGACTCGACATACTCGGTTTTGGGCTCTTTCAATACCCGACCCTACCCGACCCGTTTTCTACCCTAAACCGACCCAACCCGAATCGGGTTAGGTCCAACTTTTTTTTTTTTTTGCAGCACCAATTGACTTAAATATAAATAATACTTTTTCCATTTTAATCTACCACAGCCCTCCTCCATAACGAATTATACGTATGAAAATGCAACCCTCAAGAAGACACAGAACAAATTTGATGTGAAAATGAAGCCATAGCCACCTAGCTGCTGATGAGCATTCAAACAGATTGAAAGCGTAAAACAGCAGAACAATCTGTCTCATTTCAACATGTTTATTGTCTAACTTAGATGAGAAATATGCCTCAAATGGAGTGTTCTTCAGTTTCTACTAATATTGTTTATCATCTAGCTGAATCAAATTTAGTTGAAATATAGATTATATCTCAAAGCAAAAGATACAATAACATGGACAGCAGAAAGTACAATCATGTTCATGATTTCTTTAAACACATTGTGATTAATACAAGACTTTACGTCTTCAACCTTTTCTTGAGTAGCCCACAGGGACAACTTGTTATCTCAAATTGTGTAAATTGTTACCATTTTCTCGTCCAATAGAGTCAAGACACTCAGTCCTGTTGTGCACAATCCTATGAAACAGTTCTCTAACCCGATGCTCTAATGGATCCAAACCATCTTTTACTGCTTTAAACACTAGTCCAAACTCCTGAACTCTGTGCCTCAGTTCCTCTTTCTTTTCCTCAGTCTAGGGGAACTGAACAGAATCAGTCAATTCATTCATATGTCTAGCGCATTTGTCAATCTCGTGAATCTCCTTCAACAACCCACTAGCATTTCTCCTTTCATATTATCCCTAAAAATCAAACACAAAAAAAATCATATTATCCCTAAAAATCACAGATTTACAGCAAATGCAAGTAAACAGCTCAAATAATAACAAAAAAAGAAAAACATAATTCTAATTGAACCACAAAACGATCTTATTGAACGTCAAATACAAAACCCAGTTCATATAATGTGTATAAGCATCGATGGTATATGCAAAGAAATTAATGAAGATATAAAATTAAAGCTGAACCTTTGACTGTGATCTTCTTCAGCACTGAAAACGTTGGAATGAAGTGTTTGGTGCAAAAGAAGACGATTTTCTAGGCTTCAGTGATCTTCCACTGTTGAAAAGAGTTGTAGACAATGGAGATCTCTGGAGAGGGAGGCTAGATTTTGAAGAGAGGATTTCATGGCTTTGGAGAGAGGATTTCACGGTTTGGAGATTGAAAATAGGGTTGGGTCGGTTTGAAAAGTTTTAAACCGTGAACCGACCCGACTCGACCCCTCATTTTTAAATAAAACTGACCCGACCCGAATCGGTTTGGGTCGGTTCGGATCCGCGGTTTCGGGTTCATGGGCCCAGCCCTAGCTGCCGGGAGAGAATTTACCAATTTAGACGTCTCAAATAGATCCAAAGACAAACACTGAAAATTTCAAATTTGTAGATGTGGATCTTGGATCTTGGTTAAGAATCTGAATTTGTGGTGTGCATGTTATTGTCGACAGGATCTGATGAAATATGGTGGACTGTTAGCTGCTCTCTATGGGTCTGGTTGATGTTGATTAATGCAATCTTTTCAATTTCATGTCATTGTGCTGCTGTATAAAGATAAAGGATAGGGACATCTTAGATGTTAGACCACGATTTCTATAGATTTAAACAAGTTCCCATTCCTGAGAGCAATGTAACTCAGGAGGAATTTGTTAGAAGGCAGCAAGTTGGCCAAAATCAGAAAAGTTTTAATTTCCTATAACCTTTGAGGAGAGGCAGCTGTGTATCAAATTGAATGATGAAAATGATTCACATAGTTGATCTTTAATGGGTACAAGCGTTTGCTTGATGTTGTTGTTTGTTGAGAAGTGTGGCAGGCTGGGGATCATGAATCGGTGAGAGCCTCCATCCAACTTCACGCATTTAAGGAATCTGCCTGTGCAGTTTTTTCACTTCATGAATTTTTTCTCTGAAATTCATTCCTGGTTGTTAAATGGTTGGTTTTGTCAGGGGCACCACTTGACAACTTGTGACTAATGAATTTGTTTACTTGAACTTGTTTTCCTAATATTCTCTGGTCCTTATTAACATGATTTCTTCTATTTATTTTGGTAACAACTCTGACTTAGTTTTAAAAAATGTAGTTGCTTGTACCACATGAAGTAGTATTGAAGTCTGCTTGTAAGGGGATTCTGCCTGAAAGGAATGCTTAGTCTTCATAATCTGTGCATTTACTTTTGGATTATATAAATGTTATCTATCAATATTATGTTAATTTTGGAACTTACTCTTTTTTTTTTGTCTTGCTTTTTATGACTCAGAGAACTGCAGCAGACCATATTTTGCGGGATCTGCAAAATAATCCAGATATGTGGCTTCAAGTAGTTCACATTCTATCAAATACCCAAAATTTGAATACTAAATTTTTTGCTTTGCAGGTCAGTCTCACTCATGATATTTGTATTAGTAGTCTTTTGCATTTGGGTGGTGGACTTGGGGTTTGCCATAATATAACCCATATCCAACTTGTCGACTCTCCTTGCCTGTCTTCCCTTGTTTCAATTTGGGTGGGTGGGTCAAATGGTAAATTATGGGTTTAACTTTCAATTCATATTACTTCCTATAGGTTATATCGGAAATGATTATATTGTTATTTATCAATGCCTTCTTGCTAAAAACCTGCATATGACACACAAGTTGAAAACAGATTCATCCGTTTCAGTGTCTGCATGCAAAGGCTGTTAAAGCTGGCAAATACAATTTAAAAGTTCACTTCTATTGGTTCCAAAATCTGTGTTTTTAAAAAGAGGCCTCTGTCTGACTGACTGATTGAAATGTAAATGACATATAAATCCTGTTTGGTTTAGCTAAAAATATGTTTTTTTAGTAGATTTTGATAAAAGATAATAAATGTGTGGTTAAAAAGTTGATAAAAAGTTAAGGCTTCCACGAAATGTGTGGTTGAAAATGAGTTTGAGGAAAGGGGCCAAGTAGGGGCATATTGTCCAAGCCAAATTATGTTTTTTAAGTTTTTGTGATTGTTTGGTGGTATTGTATCTATTTATGGGTGATAAAAATATGGATATTAAAGGTATAACATAGTTTCTTATCTTGTTAAATGAGAAAACTTGGTTTGACTCCTTTGACCCTGGAATAAAAGAAACTTGGCAGTCAATGGTTTACCTATTTTATGAACCAGCTAGCAACTGTTTCAGATCTGTCCACTGATGTGGAATATTAACACATAACAGTAAATTTAACTTAATCTTAAAATTTCCTACTCAATTCCCCATGCTTGTTTGAAGATTTGTGGAAGCACCGGTGTCGTGAAAATTGACAAAAGCAGAGAAGCTTGTCTATTATATCCTTAAATGTGATCTTAGTATTACGAGCACTAGTATCTTTTTGGAGATCGACCTTGTTCTCTAATGGAAGTGAATACGACGTGCTAGTTCTTTTACCTTTTTAACATTATTAGATACAATGATGACAGTGATGACTTTTAGAATTTACCTGTACAGGTTCTAGAAGGTGTTGTCAAGTATAGATGGAATGCTTTGCCTGTAGAACAAAGAGATGGCATGAAAAACTATATTTCTGAAGTTATAGTTAAGGTAATATAATCCATACCATTTTGAGGAAGACTTTGGAGGCATCTGCTTCCTGCAGCATCTCAGTTAAAGAGTATGACCAATAATTTCGCTATTTCATTTGTTGAACTCAGCTTTCTAGTGATGAGATCTCTTTCCGGCGGGAGAGACTGTACGTCAACAAACTAAATATTATATTAGTTCAGGTAATACTATCTAATCCTCAAAATCATGCTCATCAATAGAACCTGCAGTTGTGCTTTGCATGTACACGTGTTTCATGTTTTAAAAGAACCCTTCTACTTGGGTTTTCTCTTATGCCATCTTGTTTATGCTGTTTTCTCTTCATACGTAGATCTTGAAGCATGAGTGGCCAGCCAGGTGGCTGAGATTCATTCCTGACTTAGTTGCAGCAGCAAAAACAAGTGAAACCATTTGTGAAAATTGCATGGCTATATTGAAAGTAAGTAGCAATCCCTGCTCTCCATAATTTTCTTGATAAAGTTCATGTGCTTGACTTAAGATGTTACTCAGCTTTTAAGTGAAGAGGTCTTCGACTTCTCAAGGGGTGAAATGACTCAACAGAAGATTAAAGAGTTAAAACAATCATTAAACAGGTAATCATGTAGTATAAGGTTTTCTTGAGGGCCACATTCTCGGATAAACAGTTGACATCTAGGTTTTTATTGATGGCTACAGCCTTGAAGCTGTCTAATACTGTAAATTCATTGTCTGTTTACAGTGAGTTTCAGCTCATTCATGAATTATGCTTGTACGTATTATCAGCATCTCAAAGAGCTGAGCTTATCAGGGCTACCCTGGCCACATTGCATGCTTTCCTTTCTTGGATTCCTCTGGGCTATATTTTTGAATCACCACTGGTCTGCACCTCCTCCTTTCTTTTTGTTGATTGTTGATGAAGAAATGGAGTTGTGATTTGATTCCTTAATGTCTTGAACTTTGGTGGTTATCGATTCGTCTGTGCCGAATATTTGAAGTAACTTATTGTGCCCTTTCATTTGACAGCTTGAAACACTCCTCAAATTCTTTCCCGTGCCTGCTTATCGCAACCTCACTCTTCAATGCCTGTCAGAGGTATATTTTGTCCTTGTCATGTGAAATTTTTTGCGATCATCCTGAGATTGATTTTACGTTGCTTATTGCGCTGGTTAATGTTCACAGGTCGCTGCCCTAAGTTTTGGTGATTTTTACAACATGCAGTACATCAAGATGTATAATATATTCATGGTGCAATTGCAGGTAGTGAAGTTTAAAGCAATATTGAGCTAGCCATTTCTTGAAACAGTACATTCATACGCTTTAGTTTTGATAAATTTATTTTGGAGTTTGTTCGATTAAGTTTTAATAGCAGCATTTGATGCAACATCTTTATGGTCTCGTCGATGGATTTATTGGAGAATGTAAAGATAGATTCCATAGCTGAGTTTTGTATCAACATCTGTATGGTCTCGTTGATGGATTTATTAGAGAATGTAAAGATAGATTCCGTAGCTGAGTTTTGTATACGCCTAGTGCAGTTATTCACTTTGTAATACTATTTAACAAATAAATATTTGATATAACTTTGATGGAGTTTATGCTGATTTATGATATAATTTTTGTTGCCTTGAAGACTATTCTCCCTCCCAGCACAAATTTCCCAGAGGCTTATGCGAATGGGAATAGTGAGGAGCAGGTGATTGTGTAATTTAATGAAATTAATTTTATTTATCTGGATTTCTATCATGTTTTGAGAGTTAAATACGCTTTTTCTTTGTCCAGGCATTTATTCAGAACTTAGCATTGTTTTTCACTTCATTTTACAAGGTAATCTTCTCCCTCATTTGCCTCAACTTGAAGAGTCACAGGTTGAATTTTTGACACATTGGTTGAGAAAAATAACAATGATATCTGCATGGAAATGGATGACCAAGGCATATCTTTGTAAGATATTAACATATCGACCATAATGCACAAGTTAAAGTCATTTTTCATTTCCTTAGGGCTTGTTTGGGATAGCTTCTGCTTCTGCTTCTGCTTTTTGTAGAAGATCTTCATGAGGAAGTCACTTTGGACTTTCTTTCTCTAAAAGCTCTTTTAATTCGGCATATCACTTTCAGAGAATTATCTAAAGTTATCCAAATAGGTCCTTAAGTAGCTTCTTAGTTTCAAAAGCTACTTTTGACTTTTCAAATGTCAAAGAAGCCCTAAATTTGTTTGGATTTCCTTAAGACACAACATTTGAGTCCCTTTTCTGGTGGGAAGTGCACACGTTTATTTGGACGTTGGTTTAAAATGGTCAGTACATCTCATAGTGGCAATGGTAGCGGAAACACGTGAATGATTCATATAATTGGTTTTGTTGCTATAAACATTTGGATAAGGTTTGGTGAACCAGTTGATATAACCTATGTAGGAAACTCTCTTCCTTCTGGAATCATATTTGATTCTGCAATAGCTGGTGACTGGAGAGTATGCTCATTATTATAAAAGACTAAGTTTCTGTATTTGTTAATTTGTAGGAGCACTGCATTTCTTCTGAGGTCCACTCTCATGCGTTCATAAATTATTTGTGGATTCATGTTTTTCTAGCATCTGACCAATTCCATGTTCTCACTTAAACAGTTAAACTGCTGTGTCATTAAACAAATTAGAGGATTGACTATGGCCATGCCTTTGCCACCTGGATTTGGCTTTTAATTGTTTACTGATCGACATCTTTTTTCACTGGGTGCAGTCTCATATACGAATATTGGAATCTACACCAGAGAACATAAATGCCCTGTTAATGGGTCTTGAGTATCTCATTAATATTTCATATGTGGATGATAACGAAGTTTTTAAGGTAATGTTTGTACCATCAACCATGGAATTCTTACTCTTTGGTAAATTTTTTTCAAATAATTCTTGATAGATATTGGTCTAATATGATAGGTGTGCTTGGACTATTGGAACTCGTTAGTTTTGGAGCTGTTTGAAGCTCACCATAATCTGGACATTCCTGCAGCAACTGTAAATATGATGGGACTGCAGGTATTATTGATTATTATCTCATTTTATCTTTTCTGATGTTTTTAATCTTAATCCTGTCCTTGTCTAAGCAAGATTGTATCCCATTTTGCTATACTTTTCTTATTGGTTGGATGAAGCTTACAAGTTTGCAGTTTGTGCTGAAATGCTATGAAGGAAGAGTATATAATGTTGTTTATTGACCTATATTATTGGACGAGTTTGAGAGAAACGAAATTAGAGGTATAGAAAGTAGATTTCTAAGTAGAACTGTATCTTTGGAGTAGAAGTATACAATTGCCACTTCTCATGATTCTGATGTGAACCTAAGTTGATCTTTTCTCAAAGGATCGATGTTAGTGAGAAGCTTCTGTTTAGGTGTTAATATTCTTGTTCCTGAATTAACTTCAAGTGTCTTGTTGCAGCCTGTTAGATTCTGTTACTTGTAATCTTTGTTTGCCATTTACTGATATGGACAACTATTAAAGGACTAAAGGAGTTCTGATCTTATGTATTTTCATTTCTTTTTCTTTTTGTAACGTATTTAAATTGACATTTAGGATGTCTAACTTTGCTCATATATGTGTACTTCATGAATATTGGCATGATATTGAAGTCTGATATGCGTGATATATAAATAGTCCAGTAATTTTTATTTGTTCCTTGCCGTCTGTATCTGTATGATATATCTTACAGCTCACAGGTATATTATATTCTCCTTTTCAATTTTGAAAACAAATTTTGTTACTCTGGAAAGTTCACATACAGATTTGAAATGTGAGTATTTAATAAAAATTAGCTCCCCCACCTCAAGACTATTGAAAAAGGTTATTAAGGAACTGGAGCAGATGAGAGTAGAATCTGGAACCGTATGTTTGTATAAAATTTCCCTGATCCATACATCAAAAAAAATTTCCCTGATCCATAAAGCAAACACTGATGCCAGATTTTTTGTATAAGCAGATGCCTATGCTATCCGGCGTGGTTGATGGACCTGGTTCACAAATCTTTCAGAGACGGAAACTGTATGCTGATCCAATGTCAAAGTTGAGAATGCTGATGATATGTCGTATGGCAAAGCCAGAAGAAGTTCTGATCGTTGAAGATGAAAATGGAAATATAGTTCGTGAAACTATGAAAGACAACGACGTCCTTGTGCAGTATAAGGTCATCAGTCCTATTCAAAAGACAATATACTTTCACATCAGTTTGTAGAAATAATTTGGTCAATCAACTCTAGGCCTTACATTAGTTGCTTTTGAAGAGAGATGAGATAACACTAATATGTGGGCAAAGTAACTTTGACCCACTTGCCCTGGCATCTCAGCTTGCATTTAGGCTTTCCATGTTATGACTTTTACTACGAGCAGAAGGGTTAGTGGGGGTTTATTTTATTTTACATTCTTGATGTTTGTTGGTGAAAAAGGATTTATTATTTTTATCCACAATGGGTAGCATTAGGCAAGCAAGTTCCCAACAAATCATTACAAGTGTTTCCTATGCTGCCTGCTAAAGAGTAAGAGATGTAATGTGACATCACATAAATTTGGTTCCCTTTCTTACCTTGGTGCAAACTTTTTGTGCAACATAACACACAAAATGCATTTTCAACTTCTAATATGCAAGTTTCCTTATGAATAATTATTGCTAGGCCTTGTCAGATGTGGATCATAATGCTCTGTTATTAAAAATTTTTTTACTGCATGCTTTTCATTTGACATACGCCTACCACAAAGCATCCCGTAATTTATGTTTGATAGGAATGAGAATAGCCACATCTTTTGCTCATTTTTCTGGTTTTCCATTGTTATCTGAATGGATGAGATGGGTGATACGAAATACTTTGTACTGATTTTTATCTGCTTTCAGGAAAATTGTGTTTGTTGCCTTATCCTCTGATTTTTCTCTTGGGATCTTATACTTGTGTTTACCTCATATTCACCCTTTTTGTAATCTGTAGGTTATGAAAGAAACACTGATCTACTTGGCACATCTTGATCATGATGATACTGAAAAGCAGGTATGCCTTGCTAGGTCACCCTCTCGACCCACCAGTGCGTGCACATTTGTTTCTTATTCCTTCAAGCCTAAATATGGGTGGCAGTGGATTGGCAGATGTGCCAAAAACTGTCAAATGGATTTAAAATTAGCTTGCTGGCATATGCATTTGCATTGAAAGATCCTTAGATTTCCTACTTAAATGTATACCTTGAACAAACACCAGCCACGGGATAGAATTTAGACCTAATTGTTACCTGGATATTGCCTTCGATGATTGTCAATTATCAGATGTAGCACATAAGGTGCAAACTATGAAGCTTTATTTTTTCCCCTACAATCTCTTCCTCTGATTTTCCTTGGGGTACAAAAGCTAATAGCTTTGTGTGATGCTCATGTTGTCCTTGGAAGATAATTTCATGTATGTGATGGAAAATCATTAGGCTTCTAGTCATGCCCTACTAGAACATAACAGTTTTATTTTTTAGAGAGAGGACATATTTTGGTCTTTTATTGTGGTCACCCGTGATGACATCTAGTTGTGTCAGCCACAGGTTTCTATGCTTTTTCTAGGAGGGGTGCATGTTCATGTGAGTTGCAAATTGTCAAGCCTCTAGTTTACGAGTGGCCTTTCTTTAGACAAAATTCTTGTGGCACTCATCATCAATTACTTATATTCGTGAATGTTAAGTTTAAATTGTTGCTTCATGGAAGGATACATATAGTTTCTAACACAATCTACTTTGTCGAATTATAAATTTGCATGTCAGAAGAGTTTGTTGTGTTAAATGCTATCAGTGAATCTTTATGATGGACACTCCATATCTTTTTATTGCGGTGTCTGACCATGCCTTCTCTACTAAACTATTTTGTATCGTTGTATATCCTGCCATTTTGTATAAAATTGTTGGCTAAAACTTCTTTTTTTCTTGGAATGCAATCTTTTACCTGGGCACACAATATCAGTTTAATTTTTTGGTATGGATACAGATGCTGACTAAGTTAAGCAAACAACTAAATGGAGAGGATTGGACCTGGAACAACCTTAATACATTGTGTTGGGCAATTGGATCCATATCTGGGTCGATGGTGGAGGAGCAGGTAGGCTTATGTGTGTTTTTTCCCTTTTCCTTTCACTAGTTGCACGGTTGATTACTGACTTCCCTTGTCAACCTAATTCTAATCTGAGGTTTCATTCATTTTAATTTCTGGATCTTGCTTACCCATGATACTTTACCATGCATTGTATTTCGGCACATCGAAGCTAAACTTTGCTAAGTTTTTAGTGTACACCAAACTGTGTAAAAAAATTCTTGCTTCCTGTCGCCTTTTTGTACTGTGGCAAAATATTTTGTTGGAATTGTACTTATCTTTTGTCCTCTAGAGTTATAATTTGTTGGAATTGAACTTTCCATACATCTTTAATTGGGTTTCACATGATCAATCTAGTTAGAGTCTTGGGACTTGTTATGATACATACGTGCACATGCATATATGTGAAGATCTGCACCTTGTTCTGTAAGATTTAGGTAACTTTCTACCTTTGGCAGGAAAACAGATTTTTAGTGATGGTGATTCGTGATCTTTTGAACCTCTGTGAAATCACCAAAGGAAAAGACAACAAGGCCGTCATTGCTAGTAACATAATGTGAGGATTATAATATTATGGTTATATTGTTAGTTAGATCTGATAATATATCTATTACATTGCTGCAAGAGGGTCCTGCAATCACTATAGCGTTATGGTGCCTCCAGTGTAGCGGAGGTGGCCCTCGGAGATGGTTGAATGTGATTATCATTGATTTGGTTGAAGTTTAATCCTTCTGAATTTTTGTGATATCCAGGTATGTGGTTGGGCAGTATCCAAGATTTCTGAGGGCTCATTGGAAGTTCCTGAAAACAGTAGTGAATAAGTTGTTTGAGTTCATGCACGAATCACATCCTGGAGTTCAGGTAAATACTTATTCTCATCTCTTCTTAATTAATATTGTTTTGCAGACATCTTTAATTTTCTTTGTTTGTCATGGAGTTCAGCTGTGGTCTAACGAAAATTTGTTCATATGATTTATCCTGATCTGGCATTGTCCTATTTTGCTCTGTTATTGAATTTTTATTTGCTTATTTGTAGGACATGGCCTGTGATACATTCTTGAAAATTGTTCAGAAGTGCAAGCGTAAATTTGTTCTTGTACAGGTTAGGCTGCTTCCGATGCTTCCGTAATACTGTTGCCTTTTGTTCTATGATTTGACGAGGCAAATAACAGAACTTAATTTCAGGTTGGGGAAAATGAACCATTTGTTTCAGAACTCTTAACAAGCCTTCCAGCTACTATTGCAGATCTTGAGCCTCATCAGATACACTCCTTCTATGAATCTGTAAGCCTGTTTTATTTGGTACACAGATGATTTTGTGCAAAGCGTTGAGTAATCATTTCTCGATTTAAGTTTATAGATGGAATCGATTATTTTACATGTGCATTCTTAATTGGTGCTGCCTTCCCTTTTAGGTTGGTCATATGATTCAAGCGGAATCTGACCCCCATAGAAGGGATGAATATTTACAGAGATTGATGGCTCTTCCCAATCAGGCAAGATCCTTGCAAGTCATCTGTTTATTCTTAGACAATATTTTAGCTATGTCTGCTTCTGCCCTTCTTCCTCCCTGGATGACGCATTGTAAATGATAAACAATATTGTCGGGTGCAGAAATGGGTTGAAATTATAGGACAGGCGCGCCAGAGTGTGGATTTCTTGAAAGATCAAGACGTTATCAGGGCAGTTCTAAATATATTGCAGGTAGTTTGCCTGATTAAGGTTTGGTTTCAATTTGTTTAGATAGCATTGGTTTAAATTCGTCTGAGTAAGCATTGGTATAGATGTCTACTGCAGATGTGTTGAATCTGGCATTCTCAGTGTTTTTTTACTTTGAAAATAGTTCGATGATCATGATTATTTTTATTTGCTCATTATTCATCTGAGTTGGAGAATTTGTAAATAATTTGTGTCACTTTATGTTGAAAGAGATCTGTTAACAAACATCTTTTCCTTGTATGCAATCCATATTATATTTTTATTGCATTTTCCTTCTCATCATTTGGCACATAATCTACCGTGCATGGACAAATGAAAGGTGTATGTGCCACTACTTGAGTTTGGTTGAAGGATGTTCTCTCATATATATTCTGTATCTGGTTCATATTTGCTCTTGCCAGTAATGGAATGTGAAGATGAGGTACAAATAGATGTGAATTGATTAAAGTTTTAAATACAATCTTTATAGGCATTTATCTCTTCATCGTGTATGTTGTCCTTTCGCCTTCCATCTTTGCACTTGTGAATGTAATCTTATGTAATATGCTTTTTGCTTGGCAGACAAATACAAGTGCTGCCAATTCTCTTGGAACATGTTTCTTGCCACAGATCTCTCTGATCTTTTTGGACATGCTCAATGTGTACAGGTATGCATAAATGCTTATGTTCTTACAATTTCTGCATTATTTTACATTTTTTTCTACTGAGTTTTTTTCCCAGTGATGCTTTACTTGATTTACATTTTAATTATGTCCAACAGAATGTACAGTGAGCTTATATCTACCAGTATTGCACAAGGAGGCCCCTTTGCATCGAGGACATCCATTGTGAAACTTCTACGGTGAGTGTAACTTTTGGAGCCTTGTTCCTGCAACACAAGTACTCTGACAATTATGTCTATTCTGAACAGCTCAGTTAAGAGGGAAACTCTAAAGCTCATTGAGACATTTTTAGACAAAGCTGAAGATCAACCTCATATTGGAAAGCAGTTTGTGCCTCCAATGATGGACCCTGTGCTAGGAGATTATGCCCGGAATTTGCCTGATGCTCGAGAGTCTGAAGTTCTTTCTCTTTTTGCTACAATAATTAACAAGTACGCTGCACCTTCTTCCTTTCTTTTTTTTTTCTTTTTTGCTGCATATGGCGTTATTGCTCCATGGAGGCCCATTAAAAAACTTTGTTTTTATTGGTTTCTTTATGGTTATATGCTTTGAGTGACCTTATCCAATAATGTCTTGATGAACTGTTATACTGGTATTCATTATGCATCCACATCGAATTTCTTCTGTTTCTTCTCCAAGATGAACAGCGTATAAGAGCCTAGAATGTTGGGTGCTGATGATTACAGTTGCATTTAATTTTGTAGAGAATGCTGTCACGTTTTGCAATTAATTTCCTTTTGCTCTTTTTACCTGTCCAGATACAAGGGGACAATGATTGAGGATGTTCCTCGCATATTTGAAGCTGTTTTCCAGTGTACTTTGGAGGTTGGTGAATATTGTTTAGACATTAAGTTCCAGATTGTGGCGTTTGTGCTGATCCATGTTTTCTTCTTGTGAAAAGATTGATTATTTCCTTTACTGACCAGATAAAAAAGTTATTTTTTACGTCAATATACATTCATCCGAACATGCATCTATAGAAATGTACCGTACTAAACATTCGATATACACACAACAGCACATGTTTATGTACAATATTTTCTCTCTTTTTGTCCAATCATGTGATGCCAGATTCAAAAGTCTGAAAATGATACACAATTTTACAAATATTATGATCTGTGCTTGTTTCCTAATTCATTTAAGGTTGAGAACTTTTTGTTATTGCTTCCTTTCCATCTCCTGGTCCAAACCCCAGTGCTGCCCCTTCTGTCTACAAAAATTAATTAAATTCTTTTAAACATTATGCTAGGCTGGGCCAGAGCAACCTGAGGCCCAGTGAGGGAAAATCCCTTGCGAGATTTGGAGAAAAAAATTGATTTGTTTTTTTTTTGGGATTCAGTTTGGTTTTGGTTATTACATCAGCAAGAAAAAAAGGTAATTAAAAGGAAGACATCATCGTTGGCAATTTTAAAGCTAGTTTCTCCATTATTTTTCCTTTTTTTCCTTTATATCCCGACTATGAATATACACACGGTTTTGTAATTTTCAAATTTCCTTAATTTGTTCTTGCCTCTTGGCTGTAACTTAGCCCACGTTTATGCTGCTGCCTTCTCTCTTTCCTTTTTCAGTTACTTCTCCTTTTTCTTTTATTTTTAAGCTTTATTTGGGGTTTTATCCCTTTTTTCCATAGTTTGTTGTTTCTCTTTACCTTCTTCTCTTACTCTGTACTAAGTACTTGTTTGGGTTTCATTATTAATTGCTGAAATTATAATGTGATAAAAATGAATGGTGGATAAGTGGGTAGTTGTTGTGGGTCATACAAAATGTGTGGTTAAAAGTTTGACTTTGATCTTTATGCATGGTTTAAAAAGGCGGTAGCGAGGGCGAAAAATATGAGGCTCACGCCCGCCTCATTTAAAATTTGTTTTTTCAATTGTATGAAAAAAATCAGAAATGGCCCTTTTTAAAAAAGAAAAGAGTCTATTTAAAAAGGTATTTTGGGCCCAAACAAAACAATAAAATATCCAGAAAACTAAACGGTAGTCAGAAATTAGAGGGAAGGAAAATGTCACATTGCAATTGGTGGATGAGGAAGATGATTTTGTAGAAATTGAGAGTAGCGAAGAGGAAGATGATGAGGAAATTAGATATGATGATGATTCCATTAACGATGCTAAACATCTTCTTTCTTTAGGTGGACTATATTTCAATTTGCTAATGGCTATATATCCTATTTGCTATATGCTCCAACTTTGGTTTTTTTGTATTATTTTATAATTATTTTATTTAGATTTTTTGTTTTTTGTGAGGCGTGCCTCGAGACTTACGCCTTGCCTCATAAAGAAAAACCGTCTCAGTACTTAGTTTCGCCTTTTTAAACTTTGCCTTTATGTTGTAAGGAACTTATAATGAAACCCAAATGAGCATTAAGCCTTGTTCAATGCATTTCACTTGAATTTTCTTTCTTTCTTTTTTGTTTTTTTTAGTTGTCACTTGCTTGGCATATGTTCACCTTTTCTCTTAGTCCTGTTCAGTTTAATTTCATTTGACTCATTTGAATAGATTATTACAAGAAGACATTAAATTTCTTATTTTTCACACTTTTGCTTGAGGATATTTTTTAGCACGAATTATAGTTCAACAGGATTAAAGAAGAAATTGTATATAAACGTTTTAATTATTTTGTAAAATTTTGATTGAGTAGATTAGTTTTGTGGTAGCACGACTTGCCTTGTCTCTTGTTGAGCTTGACTGTAGAGTCCAAAGCCTAGATAATTTGTCCATGTAATTCGACATGCTTAAAAAGTTGTAAATAAATCTAGTATGGAAATGACAGTTTGGTCAAGTATATTGAAAAATTTGTGTGTGTGGAAATTGATAATGAAATCATTGTAAGGCGTTTCCAAAGTATGAAAACTAACAAGGAAAAACTGTAAGAACTTGTAGAATTATTAATATTTTAATATAAATATCTTATTTGAAATTTTTTTTAGCTAAATCTTGCCCTCACTGAGGCAGAGTCCTGGCTCTGCCCATGATATTAGGAGTCTTGGTTGTGATAATTATGTGCCATAAATTGTTGTTTCATGCTTTGGAGTTTTGTAATTTGAGGAAGGCCAACTCTGAGTGAATTTCTTATAGCGTTTATCTTTATTTTTCATTGTTTTGCCTTTGTTGTTTATTTCATTGCAGATGATTACAAAGAATTTTGAAGATTATCCTGAGCACCGTCTCAAGTTTTTTTCGTTACTTCGTGCCATTGCTGCACATTGTTTTCCTGCTCTGATCCAGTTGTCCAGTGAGGTTTGTGTCATATTTTGTAATATATGAAATACATTTGTCTCTCTTCCTTGAGTTATTTTAATTTAGTTGGAAATATGTTTTTAATTTCTCATGCCTGCATATGATTTATTTTGGTTTTCTATTGGTTTTACATCAGCAATTAAAGCTTGTTACGGACTCCATCATTTGGGCTTTCCGGCACACTGAACGGAACATTGCTGAAACTGGACTTAACCTTTTATTGGAGATGCTGAAAAACTTTCAGGTATGTTGTGGTTATTTTTCTTTTTCTCATCTAACATTCCGAATTGGTCCTTACTTTTCTTTGGTTTCTTGTCAGGCTTCTGAGTTCTGCAATCAGTTCTACAAAACTTATTTTTTGACAATAGAGCAAGAAATTTTTGCTGTTCTGACAGACACCTTTCATAAGCCTGGTTTTAAATTGCATGTACTGGTGCTGCAGCATTTGTTCTGCCTGGTAAGATTTTTACTTATTCATTATACCATATTTTTCTTTTTAATATTTGTATGCATTTTTTCTTTTCCCAATAAGCCTGTCCCAATTGTGATGAAACAGGTCGAATCCGGTATTTTGACTGAGCCTTTATGGGACGTTGCTGCAGTTCCTTACCCTTATCCGAACAATGCCATGTACGTTCGTGAATACACCATTAAACTTTTGAGTTCGTCTTTCCCCAACATGACAGCAACTGAGGTATGAAAATAAAATGTGTAAAAATTTTTCTTATACAAAAATAATGTGCTGCCATTGCTTTTATTAATTCCTAATTTGTGTTTTCTTTTTAGGTGACCCAATTTGTAAATGAACTCTTTGAGTCTAGGGCTGACCTTTCCACATTCAAGAACCACATACGAGACTTTCTCATTCAATCAAAAGAATTTTCAGCTCAGGTTGATTCTCACTACACTTCACGTTCTCTTTTGTCAACATGCTTCTGTTTTCTTGAGTGCTTTTTACCATTCTCTTGGAAAAAATGCAAGTAACTAAAAGTCTGCTTCCTGTTCAGATGTGATTTTATTTGTTATTCTTGAAAGCTATGCCCTTTTTTTTAAGACCTTGGTAACTCGTGGGTTTGCTATTTTATTTAGATGGTCTTCTACTTTTTCAATAACCATGTAGTATAAAGATGGAGTCGAACTTTTTTGAGTAGAGTGTTTTACATAATGGTTGCTGATGACATGTTTGGTAGGGAGGATTGAATAGCACGGAACTCTCTATCGAAGAAGAAAAAGAATTTAAAATCTTGTTCATTATATTGTCCAGGAATATACATGTTTGGTAAGGTGGAATAGATAATATTAGACTATTAATTAAGGAAGAAAAAGAAGTTAAAAGAATTATATATCCTAATGTCCAATACAATCTAAAAATGCATACTGATCATGCATCATATAGAGTATCAAACATGTACTTAAGTTGTTGAATGCTGATCGTAGTCAGAATGTGTCACTGTCTTGATTTCTATCAATCCATTGCGCAGGACAACAAAGATCTTTATGCTGAGGAAGCTGCTGATCAGAGAGAAAAGGAGCGACAGAGGATGCTTTCGATCCCTGGACTCATTGCTCCCAACGAGATTCAAGATGAGATGGTGGACTCATAAGTGCTGGCAAATCTTGTGCCTGAGGCTAATTTTTTGAATTTTTAACTTTGAAAATTAGGTCAGGGCACCCGTGAATCCATTATCATACATTTCGACTTTCCATCTGTTGTTTTGCTCTCTATCTTACCGTGTGTGTGGCAAGTTGACTTGGTATGATTGTGTGGTGATTGGTGGAGGTGTCCTGGCACACGGTTTTTGGTTCTGAAGAAACCATGTGCTGGTTGGTTGTGTAGAGTAGTTAGATTCTAATGTAGGGTTACGGCATGTCTCTGTTATGGATCCTTGAATCTCCTGTGACATTGTAATCTGGGGCTAATTTTGGACCGTTTGTTCGAATGGCTTCCTTTGACCCCTATCGACTATTCAACAATAGGTTCAATCCAATGTATACAAAGCTGGTGGATTATGCAGGCATACTGTTTATGTCTAGGCATTGGTAGTATAGTTTATGTATTCTAGAATTAAGACATCATTTTTTCTTTTGGTGGTTACTTTAAATTGTGGTTTGATGCACCTTTGATTGTTCAACATCTAGTTTTTATCGTTGTGGTTTGGCTACATTTGTTCCTCTGGACTCTCAGTTTTTAAAATGGCTAATTGTTTGGATATGGCCAATATTGGAAGTGAGCTTGGAGAGTGATTTTTTAGCCTTGAGATTTTGTGATTTGGAATTGAAAATGAGATATCATGAGTTTACTTGTTTGAAAAGAACTCCCTTGTTAACAAAAAAGGGTTCCCTGTCGTTTATTTTCATTGAGCAAATTATTGTTATCATTTATTTTCATTGAGCAAATTGAGATTATTCTTTGTGCAAATCATCTTTGTCATAACAAATGGTGGCTTGTAGTCCACTTGTGATTTGTTTAATAGTAATTTGGTTAAGATGCTAATTGGTCATCTTTTCCTGAATATTTGAGATTTGCAACTCAACATAAATATAGAGTTTTGGGTGATTTTTTAAAATTTATCCAGCCCATCTGGATAAATTTGTGCAATACTTGATGACTCAACATGAATCCAATTACTAGAAATGCCCTTTTATGCATAATAATGAATTAAATGATAAAGGGACACGTTGGTCTATAGCAACATGAAATTCACTAAAAATTCTTCACAAAATCCCTCCTAGACGGGCCTAGACAAGTTAGCTAGTCAAAGTCGAGTATGTTGGACAAGTATTTGAGTTTTCTATGCAAATTTCGATTTTGCAATGCAAAAATAGAATTTTACTTGCCACATGTAGAGTTTGTTTAACTTCAATTGTGCATAATTTTCGGTGCACAACTTTGAATTCTATTATTATTATTATTATTTCTTGCGATGAACTTTAAATTCAATTGTCATGTTCTAGAATGTAGGGGCGGACTCAGCTCCTGGTGAGGAGGTGCGACCACCCGTGCTAGATCCATTGTAGCCTTAAAGTCGTTGACTATTTTAGGCTAAGAGAGTTGGGCCTTTTTTTAAAAATGAGGCCCAATTAAATGAAATAATAATAATCATCATCATCAACACATATACGGTATAGTTGAATAGTTTTACGAGAATTTGATCACCATTGGAAGAGAAATCTAGCAAAAAGGAGAATTTTGAAGAAATGAATAAAATGATGGTAGCAGTGATGTAGTTTCTGATGCCGTCATGGTGGGAGGTGCAAGTCACGATGGAGGCAGTGCTGCAGTGGCCTTTGTGTTGGTGGCGTACTGGTTTTTCACTCTAGATAGCGAGGCATGTGGCGGTTGCTTTGATAGGATGTCAGTTGATGGTTCCGATGGCAGTGGAGGTGTAATTGAAGATAAAAACATGGTCATATTTGTTATTTTCGCTGATTTGGATTGATAATTGCAACTTTGATGTCGATTTATTTTTTTAACATAATTTTCTGATTAAAAATTTAAGTTGATTTCTCTTGAAGATTTCTTTATTCGTCTCTCTCTTATTTTTTTTTTTCCATCCCTTGAAAGTAGTTGAGGAACATAACAGTGGTTTTTATTGGCTAAGCTTAAAATTTACTTATTTTTGTACTTCATTTGTAACTTGTAAGAATACGAAACAAATGATTAAATATTAATAAACGACCTCGCTCTTACGATCGCTGATTGTCGACGGTCAAAGGTCAAAGTCCGCTAGGGGTTGAACTTTTGTGCTATGTTCACTCCTGTTGGAATGTGAAGATATGTGTAACAGAAGTCGTGGAATAATTTTCTCGGATGCTACACACAGGTTCACCATTTGTGGAGCATGTGAAGAAATTAGTGCACAACTTTTGTTATAGATTTCTTCACACTGAAAATATTATATTATTGTAGAGAGAATTAAATTTAGATTTCAACGCAAAAAAAGAGTGTGATTTGGAGTTGTAGATAAAAAAATTACGTATGTTTGAAGTTCGTCGGTAGTGTAAACTCGAGATTTGTGCAAAAAAAAAATTGGAGATGTAACATGCTGACTCGCCTAGATAATTCGAGATAGTACCAAGAATTTTAGATTTATGTTGAGTTGTAAATCTCGAATTTCGCTTTAACTTGTCAAATCTTGAATTTTCTGGAAAAGATGGTCAAATACTATCTTGACCAAATTACTCTTGGGTAAATCACTTGAACGGAATGCATGCAACCATTTGATGGAGCAAATATACGGAATGAGACGACGTGGGTGATTGTGCAAAAAATGGTTGATCTGAGGATTCAAATGTTTGCGTAATAAAGGCAAACAATTGGTTCTCTTGTGTCATTTATACACAAAAGAGGGCCTGTGCATTAATTTTACAATGTGCTGGTTCTATCGATTTATGTTGATTCCGAACCATGTTAGTTGGAAACGGATTAACAAACGCTGAAGATTTAAAAACTATGTTCTTGATGGAGTTGGACTTTAACTGGTCAATTTAGGAATGACAAAAAAACTCGATATCCGCAAGCCCCATCGAAATGGGGCGGAGATAACCAGCTTAATCAGATATTCGGGGTAGGGACGGCTAACTAGCGGCCCGGCCCAGCCCAGCCCAGCCCTGTCCTGCCCTATCCCGTTTAAAACTTTTTTTTTTTTTTCAGAATTCAATACTTTAAATGAAAAATTTCACGAAATTTCATTAGTTCTAATAAAAAATAGCAACTAAAATTATTTGTCTAAATCTAACGAATATGGACAATAAAAATAAATTATCAAAAACTAAATTTTTTTTTTTTAAATGGGATAGTAAACGGGGCAAGGATCTTGTCCCGCCTTAAACGAGTAACGGGGACGGGGAGGGGAATTGCTTTGCTTGGCTCTCGTCCTGCCCCGCTCCGTCCCCTTGCCATCTTTAGGTCAGCTCTTGTACCCTTTGCAAGCGTGCGACTAGGTTTCAAGTGAAAAGAACCAACCGAAAGGACCTAGTGGATAAAAAAAACAATTGGACCAAAGAATGCAATTGCATCATATGGTCACAAGTGAAATGATCTAGCAAGCTCGAATAGTTGTAATATGAAGATTATTAGTCAGAAACAAGTTGTACTCTTTGGGGTTAAGAAACATGTAGTACACATATACGACTTGTTTAATTCATGAGTAAGCACAATAGAAAATTGGCTAATTAGCACAAAACGTCCCTACCTTTGGGGTTGATTTCGGAAATCGTCCCTACCTTTCATTTTTTGACATTTATGTCCTTACCTTCAACGTTTTGTGCGTTGGACGTCCTCCCGTCCACGTTCCATCTAATTTTCCGTCAAATAAATACCAAAATGATTTTTTCTACCAATATACAAGGGTAAAATAGTCATCACCCATTGAAACCCTTCATCTCCTGCCCAACTGATATTCTTCTCTTTCTTCTTCCTCTCACGACCAATTCATAAATCAAGCCGAAAAACAATTGCTGTGGTTACAACCAATTCATTGAAAATGTTGGTTCTTCCTCTCACGACATTTTCTACCAATTCAAACTTATTTTTCGGCTTGATTTATGGACCCATTTCTAGAGTGGTTACGAGCTGGCATTAGAACCCTTAATTGACACTGTTCATCCCCTACCCACCCACACGACTCCAAGAAAATTGAACCCACTTCGTATATTAATTCCCCCTTTCTTGTTTTCTCTTCAAATCATTTGCTGTTTTGCAAAGCTTTAACTTTTTCTGTATTGGGTTTTCAAGAAAATCTTGTTTAATTTCTTGAAATTGTAATAATGGCTGAAGAAGCCAAGAAATTGACTACTGAAGAGGTTGTGGTGTCTAATGTTTGTGTGACG